TCCCATGTTCATTGCAACTTTATTTGCAATAGCCAAAATATGTAACCAACCTAAGTGTCCATTGATGGATGACTGGATAAGAAAAATGTGGTATGTATACACAGTGGAATATTACTCAGCCATAAAAAAGAATGAAATTTTGCCATTTGCAGCAAAATGGATGAGTGTGGAAAAAATTATGTTAAGTGAAATAAGCCAAACAAGGAAAGAGAAATAGTGCATGTTCTCACTTATAACTAGGAGGGAGAGAGGGAGGTAGGGAGGGAAATGGAATACTACTTAGCCATTAAAAAAAAATGAAATTCTGCCATTTGCAGCAACATGGTTGAGCATGGAGAAAATTATGTTAAGTGAAATAAGCCAGGCACAGAAAGAGAAATACTGCATTTTCTCACTCATAAGTGGAAGCTAATAAATAAATAAATAAATACAGGAAGGAAGGAAGGAAGGAAGGAAGGAAGGAAGGAAGGAAGGAAGGAAGGAAGGAAGGAAGGAAGGAAGGAAGGACCTAAACAATTCCTTGAACTTTCAGAATACTAGGGATTGGGAAGAGGCAGATGTGGTGGGGAGGTTTGAGGAGGGATACGTTGGGTGAAGGGCATAAAGAAAAATCACAATTTGTAATAAATAAGCTTATAAAAAATAATATTTTTTTAAAAAAAGGAATTACCATACAATCCAGCAATCCCACTACTGGGTATACATGTTTATCATGGCTCTATTCACAATAACCAAGAGTTAGAACCAACCTAAATGTCCATCAACAGATAATTAGATAAAGAAAATGTGGTATACATACACAATGGAATACTACTTAGCCATTAAAAAAAAATGAAATTCTGCCATTTGCAGCAACATGGTTGAGCATGGAGAAAATTATGTTAAGTGAAATAAGCCAGGCACAGAAATAGAAACGCCACATGTTCTCACTCATATGTGAAAACTAAAAAAGTTGATCTCATAGAAGTAGAGAGTAGAAGAGTGGTTACCAGAAATTGGTGGGGGGAAGAGGGGAGGGGGATGGGGAAAGGGTGGTCAGTGGATACAAAATAGTAGAGAGGAAGGAAGAATGGGACCTAGTGTTCTATGGTAATACAGGGAGAAAACAGTTAACAACAAAGTACTGTATATCTTTAACAGCTAGTCGAGATGATGTTGAATATTCCTAACACAATGAAATAAAAAATGTTAGAGGTGATGTATATACCAAGAACATGATCATTGCATACAGTATGAATGGACACAAATATTATACTGGACTGCATAAATATATAAAGTTATCATGGATCAATTAAGAAAAACAAATTAAAAAGAGGGGAAAAAAAGAGAGAAATAGAGAGTAGAATAGTGGTTACAAGAGGCAGGGAAAGGGACAGGGGAACGTGTCTAGGGAGAAGTTGGTAGACTGGTACAAAGTTACAAAGTTACAGTTAGATAGGAAGAATAAGCCCTGGTGCCCTAGTGTGACTATAGCTAACAATATTGTTTTGTATATTTCAAGATAGCCAGAAAAGAGAATCTTGAATGTTATAACCACAAACAATAAACGTTTAGGTGATAGGAATGTCAACTACTCTGATTAGATCATTATACAATATATTCATATATTGAAACAAAACTGTACCCCATAAACATGTACAATGAAAAAAATAATAAAATAAATAAATATATAATTTTTAAATTAAAACTTCTGTATAGCATTAAAAACCATAAATAAAACTGAAAGACAAAAAACAAATTGAAAAAAAAATTCTACAACATATTTGACAAATAATTAAAGTCTTTAATATAAAAAGTTCATTTATAAATCAAAAAGAAAGAGATGAATGACAACTCCACAGAATATGAGCGGATAATTCTCAGGAGGAGAACAACACATAGCAGGAGACATCTAAAAATATGCTCAATCTTACCAGAAATAAATAGAAATAATAAAAAGGTGTTTTCCCTCACCCACTTACAAAAAGATCAAAAAGACTGACAATTGGTAGTTTGGCAAGATTATAAGGAAATCAACAGTGTCATAAATTGTATACAAACTGTGTCACAAAGACTTGGTTAAATTAGTGACTATCATGAAATAATTTAAATGTTCACACACAACTCTGAGTGAAAAAACTCAGGCTATAAAATGCCATATGTGGCCTAAACATGTACATATACAAGAGATGACTAGAAGGCTGTTCACCAAACTATCAACAGTGATCGTTTAAACGCTTTTAATGATTTCTCCTACTTTAAAACCTCAAATCCAAAATCTCATACCAAGAATTCTATCTATAAACTTCTCTATACAATATACAAATCATTTTTAAAAGCAAAAATATGGTCAATATGAAATATTTTTATAGTTCTCTTCAAAATTGCTGCTTAGCAAAATAGACATAAGTTTGAACAGTACATTGCTATTTCAAATAAACTTAAGCGCATACACTTACTGGTCCAGTAAAATATCCTTGGTGTATGCACAAATAACAATTACCACAAGCAGAATTAGGAAAACATTAAAACTATATAGACAAAAGTATTATTATGCTTTGGAGTTAATTTTTCATTGCACAGGAAAAGCAAAAAGCCACCAAATGAAAGAGTATGCATTCTGTGTTTACAATTACCTTTCTTGAGAACACTTATTAGTGCAGAAAAAATTATACATTTCTCCGAACTTGTAAGCTCAGCAGACAGATATATTTTGAAAAGGTTAAGCCATGTTTAGCAAGGTAATCCTCAAGAGATGGATGCTAGAGAATTAAATATTCAATACTTAAATTAACTTCTTATTTGGTACTTAGGAACAAATTGCCAAGAATTATCATCATCAAATAGAACATTTATTGACTCTCTTGGAAAAAGCAAGTGAGGTCTACTTGAAGTGAAAATTTTTAGAACTGAAAAGAAACCAGCATTTTTAACACTTTGCATGAATAATAGAAGCTTTTAGGTCCTCAAAACGATGCTGGGTATGCAGATTGCTAATGGAAATGACTCAAAATAGCAGAATTTCATGACTACTAGGAGTTTATTTCTTTATTTTCTACTGCCAGCTTGAGGCATTTAAAAAACATTCCAAAGAATGTCAGGCTGAACTGCTGTTTTCTACCACAGACATTAGAGCAGTTTTGAAATTTTCAAAATTCTTCACATATAAATTTTTCAAAAATTTAGCAAACATTGACTTGATAAATTAAAACTGAAAGACTTTAGATATATAAAATTATGATTACCAAATAAGTCCTAAAATATATTTTTGCCAAAACAGAAAATAAACATGAGAATGACCTTCTTTTGGGTATTCAAATTGAAACTCATTTTGATTACTAAACACTGGGAAACCGGGGGATTTTAAACCATGAAAGAACGTAGTGGCGTGTTCCAATTTTTACTAAAAGTGAAGTTTGAGGAAATGGGTTCAGAACATAACATGAAAAGTGTGGGTAAGTCACTAATAATTTTGTGATAGTGTAATTAAAAGTGATCTCTTAAAATATTACTCTCATATACGTAGGATAGTTAAAATATAACGCTGAAAAAGTTTCTTTTTAACTTAATATGTAATATTTTTAATATTCTTAAAACGTGTAGTAGATGAGTTTTCAGGATTCCTACCAGCTCTTCTGAAAGGCAAGAGACTCTACAGCATGCATTCTCAATGGGCAGGTGATATCACCCCCACAGGGGTAAAAATTGGTGGGCCGGCCTGGTGGCGCACTGTAGAGTGCGCCGCTTGGGAGCGTGGCGGTGCTCCTGCTGAGGGTTCGGATCCCATATGGAGACCGGTTCCCGCTCACTGGCTGAGCGCAGTGCGGGCCCAACACCGAGGGTTGCGATCCCGTTGCCGGTCCCCGGTACGGGCGCGACACCGAGGGTTGCGATCCTGTTACCAGTCAGTAAAAAAGACAAAAAGGAAAAAAAAAAAAAATTGGTGCACTGGGCAGGGTGCAGGAGAGAGTGACGAAAGCTTTGTATGTATAAAGTGCAGACATACATACAGTACCATAAACAGATATACAGTATATCTTGGGTATTAAAATTTAATCAGGAGGGTGAAAAAAAGTCTTAAAAGTCTCCTTAAGGGTGTGAAAGTTTTTAAAAAGTTGTAAAAAACTGAGCTAGACAAACCTGGATTCTTAATAAGTAACCGAATATCAAGAAGCCTAAGTTTCTTCATGAATAAAATGGAAATTATGACTTCTCTCTTACAATCAAAGATTTAAACAGGGAATACATGCAAAGCTCACAGCACAGTGCTAGGAATATGGTTACTGCTAAATAAATGTTAGCTCCCTTCCCTTTTCTCCTCTCTTTTGAGGATGCTGTAAATCATACACTCTCCACAAAAGAATACGTAAATTCCAAAGGAGACTGAGACAAGGAGAAAAGGAATGAACTCGAAGAGGCAATGACTTTTGTTCATGACCCCTGAACTCAAGTATGCCCAATAATGGTGAACACTAGTTCAAAAGGACTGGGTTCGAGTATCAAATCTGTCATTTTAAAAAATTGTATGAATGTAATTAAATTGCTTAACTTTTTTGATCCTCAATTTCCACATCTATACTCCAGGGCTGAGAGAAAGAACAAATGAGATAGTGTATGTAACACTCTTTGGGAACTAGACTACTATAGTTACCTTATGATAGGGTATGTATGGTTCTCGTTAATACTGTCAGGAAGTGGAGACACTGACCTAGACTGTGCAGGTAGTAGGAAAACAATGGAACAGAATCGAGTCTTTTAAATCTAAACCTCTGGGAGCCGACCCCGTGGCTCACTCGGTAGAGTGCGGCACTGGGAGCACAGCAGCGCTCCTGCCGCCGCAGGTTCAGATCCTATATAGTGATGGCCGGTGTGCTCACTGGCTGAGAGTGGTGCGGACCACACCGTGCCAAGGGTTGTGATCCCCTTACTGGTCAAAAAAAAAAAAAATCTAAACCTCAAGGGCAGAATTTCTTTGACAGTTTAAATCTAGTTTAAAACAAAACTACCAGTGAAACTCTTACCTATCTCTTTGTTCTTCATTTGTAAAGCAACCATCTAAGAAAGATGTTCCAACTGTTCCAAGCAGGGTATCGTGGCCTTGCTTGTCAGCAGTGTGATACACTCGAGAAGCCAGGTGCAGGTCAACAGGCAGCTCCTGGGCTGGGATGGTGGTGCACAAATGATGAAGGTGAAGAGTGGTGGAGCAGCCTGCTGGAATTCTGCAACAGAGAAGAGAAAGTGAGCTGCTCTTATTTTGTGGTCTTAAAATAATAAAATACATTTACACTGACAGGTAAGTCAGGTTCTAAAAAGGATATCTAAATGTAGGAGATCGGATTTAAAACTATAATAATGGTTTATAACACATTTAACATCATAGTCTCAGGCCATTGTCCAGAGCTTCAAACTCATATCCAACTGCCTGCTGAATATCTCAGCCTGTATATGTTACAGACACCTCAGAATCAACAGATCTAAAAGCAAACTCATTATCATTCCATCTCTAATCTCATCTCCCCTGAATTCTGTAACTCAGTTCAGGGACACCATTTCCAGCCATCACACATTACTCCTTTGCTATTCTGCTCAAATGGTAGTGTCCCTGCAAAAGTGGAACAATATAGTACATTATTCATTAACTAGCATGGATGGAACTCTGGGTCTCTCCCTTCCCACTCTGCTGAAACTTGCCTCTCTCCTGCCTTTCCGAGGTAGGGAAGAGGGCATGAAGATCTGCTTTCTTACCCCTCAATGCCACATACCATCCTATCAACAAATGCTTACTGAGCACCTATTATGTGCCAGGCTCTGTGCTGGATGCTTTACACACATTCTAACTCCCACAATGAACCTATATTGGAGGTATTACTATCCTTATTTTGGAGCAGTCTTTTATTGTGGATAGGTCACAAAATTAGTGAGCAACTACTGGAGTCCAGAGCCAACGTTGCTGGCTCTAAGCCATATTTCTTTCCTATTAATGTGTATTAATGACTCCTGAGTGTAATTGGCCCTTATCCAGTACTACTCCATTCCCACCTCCTTACTAAAGCAATACTCTTACATTAGCCAAATGACCTTCTTTTCATCAAATCAAATGAAATGAACTTTAGATCTTCAGGTCACGTTCTCTTATGACCTCCAAGCCACAGCTGACAATATTGATGACTCTTTTTTAAATTGCTCTTTCTCCGTGAGCTTTTCTTTAAGCCTGCACTATCCCAGCTTTCCATCTGCCTCTCAAATTCGTCATTATTTCACCTAGTCACTGGATCTTCCTTCTCCAGCTTCCAAACTGGGTGTAACTTCTAAGGTTTGAACTTCTCTTTCTACATAAAAAATTGTTTTCAGTGTTTCAGGTATTTTCTCTGTGCTGAGAGCTCCCAAATCTCATCTCCAGTACCACTACCTCACCTAGATTCCTCATCTTCAAGATACAAAACATCTTTGATTCCTCTCTCCTTCTCCTGCATCTCCAGTGCCTGCACAGGTTGCTCAGGTGTGCACCTTCTCCATCCTTACCGCCAGCACACCCTAGTCAAGGGCCTCATCATCTCAGCCTGCACAGGCAAGGGTTTGCCAGCTGGATTGAATACTACATCCTCTGTCTCTTCCCTTCTGCAAAATTCTACCAGACTGACCTTCTTTATGGTTCTGTTGCTTACTGCATCTGTCTAACTTCCTTCTCTAAGTTTCAAGGCTCCTAGCATCTGGTCTTAATTCTAGCATAATGGTTCAGACTGCAGATTCTGGAGTCAGACTGCCTGGGTTCAAATCCTGTTTAAAAGTCTCACTTGGTCATAAGCAAATCAATTAATTTCTCTATACCATGCTTAGTTGTAAATAACAACATTAGTGCATCCTGGATAAAGTTGCTTTTAAAAAAGATTGAATAGTTTTAGAACAGTGTCTCTCACAAAGCAGATATTAACTATCATCATCAGTTTCCAGAACAAATCACAGGGCTAGGCCTGTTAGTTCCTTTGGTTATATACAGAATGCTGCCTGCCCTTTTGTCTATGTCTAAACACCCTCCAAACAAGAACTCAAGGATAGACTTCTCTGCAAAATTTACCTTTTTTTTCTTTTTTACAAATGTTTCTTTTCATATGTTGCACTAGTCTTTTGCCACGCATTTTGATCCTTTATCTAATGGGTTCATGCTGGGCTGTAACTGACTGCTCCAAATGTCTGGGACTGACAATACAGACTTTGGAACTGGCTAGGCCTGGACCAGAATCTCAGTTCTAACATTTGCAAACTGTATTACCAGCTTCTCTGAAAGTCTTCTAAAAAATGAGAATAAAAATCCCTAACTCTCACCTTTGTAAGAACTGATAAAAAATAACAGATATATCATTCTCAGCCTGTGGAAGTCTCTCCAGAAATGCTTGTTTTATTTTTATTGTTGCTATTAATTTGCACAGTACCTAACCCATTGCAAGGCACAATATGTACATTATTGAGTTACTAACAGAGAGTGGTTTATGGCATTTCCAAAACAGCATAGGGCCCAACAAGAACAAGACATGCAATCTGTATGTGTTCATGTGGGGGAGGAAAAGAGAGGTAAGTCTAAAGCATTTAGAAATGCCTGAGACAAAGAGACCTAACTGGAGGAATGAAAAGGAGTGTCCAGGAAGCTAGGGCTCCCAGGCACCCTTAAAAAGGGGCTTAAAAAGAGGGAGAGAGATCGAGACAGAGAAAGAGAGAGAGGAGAAAAAGGTGGGCTCTATATCAAGCACACCTACACCATCACTCTGCCTGGGACAGGTCCTGGCTAGTGGAATGTCCTTGAGATTACATTACTAATTTTTATTTTTTCTGGAAAAAAGCATCCCAAACAATCTGGATTCCTATGTTCCCATTATAATCTAACAACATTAATCAGCAAGTGAACCTCCCTTGGTTATTGATCTAAATAACAATATGCTGCAATAGATGGCTGAATTCCCAAGAAAACAATTTAATTTGGGGGCTAGTCCCTGGTGAGAAAAGTTAGTTAAAAAATTGATTAAAGAAAAAGGGGCAGTGAATAAAAGACTTTCAGAAACACTGTTTCAAGATTCTCTTTCATTACATAAATTTTCCAAATAACAGATTTTTATTCCTCTGCACCCCGTTCTTATTTTTCTCTAATGGAAATTTCTAATTTTGGTTTTAAGGAATTAAAATAGTACTATACGTCTCAATAATATCTACAAATATTTTTGGCATGCTCAAGAAAAGCTGTGTGTTTTTATAGCACATTCTCCTTAAACAGGACTATTTGTCATTCTTTGAAATACTAAGACATAAAAAAGAAAAGACTCTGCCTCTGTGTGTGGCCACTCTTCTTCGCTTAATGCACTAAATGCAAGGTTTCAAAAAAAAAAAATCAAGAAGTTTCTGCTTCATTGATAATATGACAGTAACTATTTATTGAAGGTAAAATACTTGTTGTCTGCTGTCACTATTTGTTTTAATACATAATCTTTCTAACTAAATGAGCTTAAAGCAATGCAGATAAGCAATGGCATGTACAGGGTCACTTAAGTGCCAATTTGACTGTTTCATAAACTTTGGAATTCTTTTCCCATGAGTCTATCCTCAGCTACTAAATTGTGAGTAATATCCATTTACAAAGTTTAGGCTGGCCATAAAAAGGCTGTCTTCCATGTCTAGCACACCTTTCAGTGCCCTAAGCAACAACAAAAGCTAATAATTAAAGCTTCTTTAAAGCCCCATAAACAGTTAAATTAAGAATAATCTAGAATAAACCAACCCATAAAAACCTAGTGGTAAAGTAGGAAGAAAACCAGAGTTTCAACAAGGTGAATGGCAAAAGGTAAGTCATAATCTAAATTGCATTTCCACACTATTATTCAAAATTGTGGTTGCATTCTGTGACATAAACTCCATTAAAAATATGTGTGGTGGGATGAAACATGGAACGATAGCAGAGAAAAATAAAGCCATGTAAATTACAAAATTGATTGACCTATGGACATTTGTGGGGGGTTGTTTTTTATTTTATATAAAAAAATTAACCAATATAATAAGCAGTTAATCCAAATCAGGCATTACAGTGACCAAAAAACACAAAATCTAACATGCTTACATTTAATTTTCTTTAGTCTCACAAAGAGCTATTTTTATTCTAGCTATTGTTACGTCATTAAAGTAAGTACATTGGTCAAAACACGAACAGAAAGAAGCACAGAATAGAACACATATATCCTAACTATAAAATCTGTCACCAACTTTTCCTGTGAGATAGTTTAACTCATATCTCATATATGAATTCCTAAAATATTTAGTTTTCCTTTGCATATTCATGTATCAGTGCTACTGAATAACTTCTCTTCGGACAGTAAAATTTGTAAATTTAAGAAAGTTACTTTTTAGGTAGTTTTTGATCCCGAGGGAGTTTTAAAGACTTTGTTGGTCTCTGTGGTGGAACTCCTAGTTTACTTTTTTGTATTCGTTTAACTTCTTTTCCTTTGATTTGCAAGAATTTTGATGATTTCACCTTGAAAAGAAATATAAAGAGTGCTGTTAAGGGACATTTTAATGTGAGGGTTAGGTTTTTCTCTTGTACTTAATGATCCATCTCACATTTAAACTCCTGATTTTTATGTATATTTTATAACAGAATATAAATCTTAAAGGTGAGTTGATATTTTCCTCTAAATCCATTCCTAAATTTTAACATGTATATATACCTTCATAGCAATAAATTAGCACCATATTTATTTACAATATTTTTCATTTATTACCTTAAAATTATTAAAGAAGAAATATAAGATTTTTCTTTCCATAAATCTACTCTTCTTGATTGGTATCTTAATAGAACTTACCCTTAGTTTCTTAAAGTTTGGCATGACTGGTGGTTATAAGCTTAAAAGAATGCTAATGCTTGGAACCCATGCTCCAATGATTACTTCTTTCTCCTACAAGCGCTCAAACACAATTCTTTTTATTTATTTATTTATTTCCTTTTTGTCTTTTTTACTGACCGGTAACGGGATCGCAACCCTCGTGTCGCGCCCATACCGGGACCGGCAACGGGATAGCAACCCTTGGTGTTGGGCCTGCACCGCGCTCAGCCAGTGAACGGGAACCGGTCTCCACATGGGATCCGAACCCTTGGCGGGAGCGCCGCTGCACTCCCAAGCGGCGCACTCTCCAGTGCGCCACCGGGCCGGCCCAAACACAATTCTGTTAATAAAATCATTTAATCATTCTAGACTTTTGTCCAAGATCAATGCATAAATTGCATAAACCACAACTCTAAATCTTAAAAAAAAATAAAAATTAGAGTTGCAGTTGCCAGTCTCCAGGCTTCGAGCACCTCTCCCACTGCAACAGCTCCTCAAAAGCTGCTGCTGACAGAGGCACAACAGGCTTAAACCTATCTACCCGTGCCAACAGGCTCCAGCACCTAGGTTAACTCAAAATCTTCTACAAATCTGGGGCTTCAAGTTTCTTTTATCAATTCTTCTTCTCTTCTTTCTAAACTAAAGATCATTCTCCTTGTCAGATTTAAGAGAAGCAAAGTACGAGTTTACCTGCTTCCTTTTCTCTTTGTCATATTTCTGTTTATTTAAAACCTCAACGTTTTTTCAAAATAAATTAAGGCAGCTCTGTCATCTGTTGTCATCACACTATTCATCCATAATGACAGGGTTATCTTCCTTTTTTCTTCCCTCTCTTTGCTCCAAAACTAACACGAAAAATACATGTTTGTTCTTAGCATTATTCACGGGCCTCAACCCATTCTGGATCTCAGCCTTCTTGGTGTATAATTGTTATAGCCATATGCCACTTTTATGTTTATCTATGGATACATATTTCTTCATTTATCTTTTGTATATTTTTAAAACTCTGAATGCAAGAGATCATTCATAATTGTTTTACGAGAACTTGGGAGGATTTAGGGCAGCCCATATCTCTTAAACTTTCTTCCATTTAGAAACTTTGGTCATATGATCAAATCCATATTTTTTTACAGACTTTTACTGACATTTTTCCTCCTAAAATGCTCAGCAATCTTATCACAGGTTATTGCGTCAGTCATTTCTTCACAAGGTCTTTATTATTTCTATGAAACCTTCTGTTGGTGGTGGTGGCCATGACTTAGACCACAATACTGATGACCTTTATTACACTAATGAGCTTCCAAGAGTAAAAATGGCTAGAAAGGTAAAGATTGATCGAATTGTCTACTTTTTTGCTGAACGAGACCTTCTGGAATATATCTGAGCAGTTGAAGTCCACATTGCTCCTTTATCACAACTCTGTGCTAGTTCTATTTATTAGATGTGTCAGCAAAGGTCCTCTCATCCCCCCAATCTGGCCTGGCTTGCTGGAGTATAATGGTCCTCATTCCTGTGCCAGAGATGCTGGGGACTAATCTATGGCCTCAGATGTCCATGTACAGGGTAAAGTTCATGAATAATAATTGACCTTAAGATGTTAACACAAATAATTAAATAGAAGATTTTGGGTGAAGACTTGGTGTGCTGTGATGAGTCACAGGAACACTTCCAGTGCTATTTTTTATGGCATTTCTGATATTGTGCCCCAGTATATCCCACAACAATAACCCATAAAATCTTATTAGACTTTCTCTTCTCCTCCCTTTGGAACACTTCTAGTTTCAGCTGAGTCCTCTTAATCCATTCTCCAAGTCTCTCTGGCCAAACCACTCTTCCTGGTTTTGCAATGAACACTCTATCCCTAGTCATTTTTGCAGCTGAGAGTCTGTGGTCTTGTACTTAACCACACATCTGTTTGCTGTTATGAAGGGCAATGTTGCAATATGGTAAAGAATGAAGATTTCAGAATTAGACAACCTCAGTTCAAGTCCTGCTTCTACAATTTAACTAGATGTTTGTACTTGGGTAAGTTACTTATCTTCTCTCTGACTCAGTTTTTTCAACTGAAAAATGAGAGTGTTGTTATTAGGAAAAAATAAGATAATATATTTAAAACATTCAACAAAAGGGCTGGCACACCGTAAACACTCAAATTCTAGTTACCTTAGGAAAGGATTGACTCTTTTAACCAAAAAATAATAATTTTGCATAATATTTAATAGCAGCCACAGCAAGCCAGAAGGATTAACATTACAGGACTTTTCTATGGAGGGATTTAAAGTCCTACAGGCCATGGTGGTTAAACCACTGTCCAGAAAAACCATTTCATTATTTGACACACCTAGAAGCTAACCATTTGCCTCTCATGCCCATGTTTTATTTTCAAAGTCCCAGTGTTGAGGTAGAATAATAAATGAAAACACTAGCTCTGTGCCCACAGAGGTCTAACACCTTTCATCAAGATGACACAGTCTTTAAAGATGCCCAGGAAGGGGCTGGCCCTGTGGCTCACTTGGGAGAGTGCGGTGCTGGTAGCACCGAGGCTGCAGGTTTGGATCCTATATAGGGATGGCCAGTGTGCTCACACAGCACACTCACATAGAGTAGGTAACAGTGAGTGGCTTCACTTAGCCTTGGCAAGTTTCACTTCATACCCTGAGTGCATGCTTCAGAAAGACAGCGTGATTGCTGATGGGGTCAGTTACCAACCACAGGTTAAGTTCCTTCTCCCTGAAAGCACTGGTGGATTTTCTCTAGTCAACTATTACTTGTGGATCTTCCTTATTATCTATTATTCCTGGAAGATCAATGGGCTAGTGTCATGCAGGATGAACTGAAGAAAGTAGGGTTTGAGAAATGAAGAAAAACCATAAGATAACTGCTCTAATCTAAATATAAGGTCACCAGGACCCAGACTAGTATGGGGCTACAAGCAAAAATGTTTGGGAAAAATCTAGGCCTTGGAGACTGATTATATGTGAAAGGCAAGAAGGGGGAAAGGTCACAGATAAATCCCAGGTTTCAGAGTTAGGAGCCTTGGACAAAAACTGAAATGCCAGTAATGACCAGTTGATTTGGGTGAAGCATAGTAGGAACATAACCACTGGAGAGGTGAGGGGGGCCCAGAATGAGAGAATTGACTAGTAAGGCTGTTTACCCAAGAAGAGGCATCCATCTGAACCAGTTAGGGAGAGGGATCCCTGGGTGATAATCAAGATGGTATGCAGGATGGTACATTCAGGGAAAAGGGACCAAGTTTTTTAACCCTAGTAATAATATACCTATTTTTAAATAAATTTCTTTGTCAAAAAGTGACTGACTCAAAGTATTAAATAAGTAAATGATATGTAAATATAGTAAAAATTATGAAAATGATACATAAATAAAATGAATCTGGATACATTCTCACAATAGAAAAAGACTCGGGAGTTAGGATAAGCCTAAATGGGGCAAAGTTATAAAAGCTACAAAGTTCACCCAGTCCTGGTCCCTGGACTACAATTCCTGACTCCCTCAAGATGGTAAATGGAAGACTCTTGGTCAATTTCTGAAAGTACTGAGGTTCCTTCCCTCCTTGAAATCAGTCGTCTCTCTCCAGAGCTGCAGTTAGAGTTGAGACTAAAAACCCTCAAAAAACATATGTTCGTTTTTTCTACATGGGTAATTTGCACTTCTGAGGCCACCTTTTCATGGTGAAACCCCCACCCCATACCTTAATCCTTGCCTGGGCTACTTCTTCCCCCCTGCACACCCTCAACTCTCGGAACTCGGTTTCCAACATAAATATTTGTTTACCTTTAAAGATGACTGCTTAGCTGGATCAGTTGTGGGCTGTCCATCTTTCAAAGGTTTTCTTGATTCCTGTGCTGGCTGAACTTCTGAAATTTCCTGAGATTTAAATACAATGCTTTCTGCATCTGAGACTCCCCATTCTATTACATCCTCCTGTTCAATCTGGAAAACACTCGACACAGCTTCAGGAAACATACTCTGTTGGAAAAAATGAATGTCCCAGAATGTTCTTTTTATTGGTCCTTCCAGTGTTTTCAGTTATGCAACACTGTCTGACAACAAAATGAATAGGAAAACATCTGTTTGAAATTATGCAGAGGTAGTAAGTTTCCTTTGAAGATTTAGAAAGAGACACTCAAATTGACTTAAAAAATGTGAAGGCTGGCAAATTATTTTTCCTCTGCTCTTGCCTCAGAAAACTAGCTACCCCACATGGTTATGTACAAACTCTGATGAAATAACAAGACTCCAGTCTCATCCTGACGCCATCCCACACTCACACACAGTCAGGGCTAGTGTACATTCAACAAAAAGCTACTGCTGGTTCTCCCTTCCACTAGCCCATTGGCTCTCAGGTTGGCCTTCAGTCCACTGTAACATTGGAGCACTGCCAGAGGTTCCTCAGGTCTGAGAAATGGGATTTCCTGATAGCCAGTTGCTATTCCAGAAGCCTGACTTCAGTTGCTCGGGGAAGAGCTGACCCAGAGGCCTCAGGAAGTCCACCACATACACCCCAGCTCCACCCTGGATCCAAATGAAAAATTCTCAAAAAATATCACTCCTGTGCCTGTTTTGTGTTCCTTAAAAATGTCACACTGACTTACATTTGTATTTCACCAAGACTTAAGGAAAGTATCTTTATAGCCATATTTGGGTATTACCCAATTTTAAACCAAGATTATCTGGGATTATGGAACACTGGCAGTTAAAACTTCACTGCCTCAAATTAACAAATGACAAAACTAGTCTCATTTACATAAAAGTCTGAATTATATAGAATGACTTTAAAATGCAATTATTTCATTTTGTTCTTTGATACACTTCATTTGCTAATAAGTAAAATAAAGGGTAAAAGATGGCATACAGAGCCAAATACTATACAAATTTCTTTACTAGGCAAGAAGGGATAGCTTGGACCAAGAAATTTAATTTTGTAAAATGAGATTTTAATCTTGAGTATTTGTAAAGCTACAGTGATATAGTGGAAAGATTAAGATTTTTGTAACCAGATGGGAATGAATTCAAATCCTGGATATGTAAATTAATAGATATTTGATCTTGGTCAAGTTATTTAAACTTTTTTGGCCTCATTTTCCTCATTGGTAAAAAGAGGTTAATAAAACTGTTTTCATAAAATGGCAAAGTAGATATACTGGGGTAATATGTGTTATGGGCCCTGCTCCTATACTGTCTACCTGTGATAAACTCATTCATTTTATGTTCCATAGCTTTTGCACCGTTGATCATTCTCTTTCTTTGGAAGTTTTACACTCCTGGCTTCCTCAACACATTTTCCCAGGGTTCTGTTTTGGGAGAGTGAATACATGACAGTACCACTCATCAAAATGGAAAATGGAGGAAGAAAAGCCTGAGAAAGGGCAATCATAGTCTTCCAGCTGCAACTCACCTTCTTCAGGACTCTGCCCAGACTCACCTCCTCCAGAGAGGCCTTTCCTGATCCTACCTCTCCCCTGTGCCCTGCCTCTATTTTAGCATGTGTCACACCATATTACAATTGTCTAAATCATCATCATCGTCATCATAATCTTTATAGCCAACGTATATGAGCATTATCTTATCTGATTTTAATATTTACCACAACTCTACGAAGTAGGAACTGTTTGAAACCCCATTTTACAGATAAAGAAACTGAGGCTTAGAGAAGGTATGTAACTTGTCCAAGGTCATATTTTCAGCAAATATCAAAGCTTTGTTTGAACCTAGGCAACCTGATTCCCAAATGTACTCTCTTAACCCGTTTTTCCCCTTCATCCAATAAACCAGTGGTTCTCAAAGTGGGGTCCACAGACTCCTGACAGTCTTTGAGACCTTTTCAGGATGTCTGAAATGTCAAAACTATCTCCATAATAATATTAAGAATTATCTACCTTTTTCACTGTGTTGAAATTTACACTGATGACAGAAAAGCAGTGTGGGCAAAACAGTGAACCAATTCTTTTCAAGGTTGATCAATGGATTTTAATGTAATGATTATGCAATAAGTTCGTACATCTGATTTCAGATTCCACATTGCAACTAATCTTTAAGAAACTACCACATGTGAAGTTTTGGTGCATTAACAAAAAAAAAAGCATTCATAATTATGTAAAAAATGCTATTAAAATATGACTCCCTTTTCAATCTATATGAGACCAGATTTACTTAATATACTTTGACCAAAAGCACATTTTACAACACACTGAATGCTGAAGCAGGTATGAGAATCAAGCCCTCTATTAAACCAGACATTAGATTTGCAAACAACAAAAAAAAATACAACAATCCTACTCTTCTCAAACTTTTTTGTTTTGAAAAACATATTTTCCTAAAAAAAGTCTTTATGTTAATATGCAACTGGCTTATTATTGTTATTTTAAATAAATAAATAAATATTTCAAATTTTTCTGTTTTAATTTCTAATAGGGTAAATATTTGGTTGATATAATCCACATAAACAAAAATTCTCAAGGATTCAGATCTGTGTACCGGCCAGTTGCCAAAAAAAACAAAAACAAAAAAATTCCTTTGGATCCCTAAAATAATTTTTAAGAGTGTAAAGTCATCCTGAGACTAAAAAGTTAGAGTATTACAAAACTTTAAAATTTGAGAACTCCTTAAAAAAGAAATATGTCTAACTTACCTTTTATATTTCAAGCATTTAGTGCATTATGAACACTCTGCAATTATTTGTGAATAAGTAAATGAATAAATAAATAAATAAAACTATTTCAGTTTTTTTCTCTACTATGTAATTAGTCTCTATAAGAATAATCATTAAATAGTGTACTCTCTTCATTCATCAGTTTACTCCCTAAATGAGCTCCTTCAGGGCAATAACTGTCTTTTCTATCTTTGCATCACCCATGTTCAGAACAATGCCTGGCACATAATAGAATAAGAAATGAATGAATAAACTCCAGCTTTGTTTTTGGTGAGTATATGAGGAAATCATTCACCATGATAGCTCGAAAACTGTTACATTCAAAATGGTGGGTAATTAAAAGGAAAAGGTATTCCATTAGGAATGATCCTCTTCAAAAAGAAGAAAGTTTCACCAAATAACTAAGAGAGCTTTGGCCTGTGGCATTGGGATGCTCACGAGTGAGGCCACCAGGTTCTGAGGGTAGGGTGCCAGGCACCACTTTGTCAGAGCAGGCCCTTCTGGGATGGGAGCAGGCCGCCCAGTGCTGCCCAGCCAAACTTCAGCCCAGTAACTACCAGGGGAAGCTTCTGGGGCAGTCTAAGGGACAGATATGATGATAGATAGAGTTCTGCCATCTGTCACAGGGTAGACACCAGAAAAAATGTGTCAGGAATGAAAGAAACCAGGAGGGAGCCTTTCTACCATGGCCAGGTATCAAGTTAAGAAGTATTCTATCTCTAAAGCAGCAGTAAATTTCCTCATAAAAAACCCAATGGCCAGAAGAGGTCCAGAGATTGCTAGTAAATGTCAAAGCTGAGGAAATGGTTCCCACAGAAGTCAATATTTTTGTTTAAATCTTTATTTAAAATAATCAAGATGAGGGCCGGCCCGGTGGCGCACTGGATAGTGCGCCGCTTGGGAAGCGCGGCGGCGCTCCCGCCCGAGGGTTCGGATCCCACATACGAACCGGTTCCCGCTCACTGGCTGAGCGAGGCGCGGGAGCAACACGAGGGTTGCAATCCCGTTGCCGGTCCCCGGTCCGGTACGGGGGCAACACTGAGGGTTGCGATCCATTGCCGGACACGGAAAAAGACAAAAAGACAAAAAAAAAATAATAATAATCAAGATGACTAAGCTGCATACCTAATAGCTTTTTTCATAGTTTTCTTCATTACACTTTACATGAATGCAGTGAATAATACTAAGCTTATTCTGTTTAAGAAGATTTCTATTTTGCTAAGCCTATCTGATCATGTACTTTCAGTTTACTGTACCTATTAGAGGCTTAAAGGTCAGAAGTTTTGATATCTATCTGTAAATGGTGTCACCTAGAGGCGGCTACCCTACAAGTCAGTCTTAAGTCTATAGCATGTGTGGTAAGGCTTCACAATTGATTTATCCACCTACCATTACCAAGTGGCTACTAATCTCACCATATACTGGGTCCTGAAGCTGGTGATGAGAATACAAAGGGGAAAAAAAACATGGTCGCAACTAGAAGCATCTCAAACGCTAGAAGTTCTACCATTTGTGGTAACTCTAACCCTACAAGATCCATGGCTTGTGTAAAAAGAAAAGATTCCATATGCTTTCTGAACATGATATGTTATCCTAAAAATGAAGTATGATCTCAATTTTTATGTATATAAGGTCATATTCCCAGAAACCTAAGGAGCTTACTATTTAATGTATGATTTTATGAATCCTCTGTAAAGGAACTGATCATTCATTCCTTCACTTTTTTATGTAAATGTGAATTTCTGTACATACATGGGAGAAACTTCCCATTCACAGGGAATATGTTCCAGATTACTTTAAATCCCACAATTATTTTGCCAATAATAGATAAAAAAGAAGCTTCATTTCTGAAACAAACTTTTGTCACCAATTGTCCATATATTTCAACAAAATTTTCCCCTTGTTCATGCTTTTAACAATTAAAGTGATGCTTTCTTAGAAGCTAATAACTTTTAATTAATTCTCCAACTACCTTCTTCTAGATCCAAATGTCTCTAAACCAGAAGAGTTGTTAAAATCTTTCCCTCCTCCAAAGAGTTTTGTGCCTTAGCTCAGAGGTCTATGATAGTCAGAAGCACTGAGCCAAAACAGCCAGCACTCCCAATGTGCTGTTGGATTAGATATACTTACAGTTAAACACACCTCTAAAACAAATCAGAAGGAATTTTTTTTAAACTCTCTCTATAAACATTCAAGCAACAGGAGGCAGACTATTACTTTGATATAGGCAAGAAGGATTTTTATTAAAGACTTTACCATTTGAGGTTCCTCAACATTTATCTGTAATCCTTGCTCTGCTTGAGTATGAGATGTTTCTGCTTGCATCTGAGGTGTTTTGAGGTACATTTTTCCAATTAAAGGAATATCCTTGAAGAGGGAAAAGGAAACAATTAAAGTAGTGCCAATTTTAACAATCACTGAGGCATATTATTCAAAATAACAAAATGCTAGCCAATTATGCAGTAAATGAGAAATATATAAGAAAATATAAGCTAGTCTATAACATACAATAAATGAAGAATACAGAAAAAAGACACAATGAAAATATTTCTGTTTTTTCTTTCTAACTCATGGCTTTTTATTTTTTTTTATTTTTTTTATTTTTTTTTGTCTTTTTTCCGTGTCCGGCAATGGATCGCAACCCTCAGTGTTGCCCCCGTACCGGACCGGGGACCGGCAACGGGATTGCAACCCTCGTGTTGCTCCCGCGCCTCGCTCAGCCAGTGAGCGGGAACCGGTCTGTATGTGGGATCCGAACCCTCGGGCGGGAGCGCCGCCGCGCTTCTCAAGCGGCGCACTTATCCAGTGCACCACCGGGCCAGCCCCTAACTCATGGCTTTTTAAATTATAATTTTTGGTCTCTCTCTATATATATCATTAGATATAATAAAACAATTAGGTGATATTAAATCAAATACTGTAAGACATTGCTATTAAATCAGATACTGTAAAAAACCACACAAGTAAACTAAAATACAAACTAAAATTTAATCCAACCAAGAGCAAGAAGGAATGTGAATATACTTAAAACTTCACGGGGTATAACTGTTAGTGTCATTTTTACAATTAACGCCAATTGCAATGATACACTCTCTACCCAGCTGAAGTGGCAAGAAGACATACACTACAATGACTAACACTGAACCAGGAATAAAGAGACGCAGGTTCTGTGCAAATTGTGAGGCCACAGATCAGGTGTCAATAGGCAAGTTATTGTGCCTCCCTTCAAGTCACCTTTATCATTCTTAAACCTGACATTTAACTACATAACTTTTTAAGGCCTTTTCTCCTCTATCCTTTTAGTGATGTCAATAGCCAGATGTGAACAGCCATTGTGCTTTAAAACTCTTGTTTTTCTACTTTTTCTTTGCTTTATCAAAAGGATTGGACTCAGGCCATTGGCTTCTACTTCTGCCTTCTCATTAGAAATAGCTATAAAACTGGACAATATATAAGAACAACTCTTTTAGGACTGGATGACAAGCAGTGCAGAACTGCAACGACTGAAAGAATGGAAGCAAACAAGGTAAGAGCCACAATTACCCCAGATTTCTGCCTGACACAATCTCCAGACTGTGACACATTAAGGGAGAAACGAACCAGAGCCCAGGTATCTCACTAAGTTGAAGAGACAGAAATCAGAGGAGAAGACAAAGATGCCGGAATTTGTAAGGCACGGCATAGAGATGAGGGCACTGCATGAAGAGCTCCAGAAACCTCGATAGGGTCCTTGAGTCTCTGGCTCAATGCTAATCTGCTATGCAATGGTGAAGCCCATGAGACTAGACAAAGAAAAACTGCCAGGGAAGAAAACAATTACCAAGGAGCTATAAGTCACAATTCCCAAAGCTCGCACAAGGCCGGGTGTTATTAGATCTCCCACCAGACATGCTGAATACATGGCATATTCATTATAAACCCCAAAAGATCATACATTAGTAGTAATGCTAAATTAGCCCTAGGGTAAGGCTTTTCTGGACTTTAAAATGCTTTAAAACTATGCTTGAAAAGGTAAAGCTGCTCTTCAAGTAACTTAACTGCCTATCATAACAAACTCCCACATTTTTTAAAGGAAGTCAACAAAATCCAGTACTCTATAATGTAAAATTCACAATGTCCAGCATCCAGTTAAAAGTTAGTGGTCAGGTGTTATAACATCAAGGTCAAGGGTTCAGATCCCCATACTGACCAGCCGCAAAAAAAAAAAAAAAAAAAAAAAAAAAAAAAAAAAGGAAAAAAAAAAAAAAAAAAAAAAAAAGTTATTGGTCATATGAAGCAACACAACATATGATACACATCCAGGAGAAAAATCAGTAGAAAAAGACCCAGAAATGACAGAGATGCTGGAATTAGCAGATGAGGATGAGGATCTTAAGCTTCTAATATAAAGATTATAAATGTTCAAAGTGAAATAAAAATGTAACATAATGAAGAACAAATATGAGATTGAAAAAAGAATCAAATGGAACATCTATAGGCAAAATATATATAATCTGAAATAAAAATTCACTGAGTGGTATTAAAAGCAGAAAAGACATTGCAGAAGAAAATATCAATTTAACTTAAAGACATACCAATAGAAACCATGCAAAATAAATCACGGAAGGAAATAAAACTGAAATAAAATGAACAAATACTCAGTCTAACCAATATTTGATTGGAATCTCAGAAAGGGTGGTGAGGAGAAACAGAAAATATTTGCACAAAAAACGGCCAAAATTTTTCCAAATTTCATGACAACTATAAACCTCCTGATGCAAGAAGCTGAATTCCAATGCAGAAGCACACAAAGAACACTGCACTAAGTACATTACAATCAACAAAATGAAAACCAGTAATAAAAATTCCTATAAACATCCAGTGAAAAAAGAAACATTAAGTACAAAGAAACAAAGAATTATCAGAGGCTAATTACCACAAAGTAATACCATAGATTTCTTATCAAAACTGTGCAAGCCAGAAGACAATGAAGCAACATATTTAAAGTACCTATACTGAAAAAAAGAATTGTCAACATCAACTTCAATATTCAGCAAAAAAAACTTTCAAAACTCAAAGTAAAACTCAGCAAGCAAAAAGTGAAATTACACATTCTGTAAAATATTTAATTAGAGATATACCAGGTGTCTAAGTTCATGCCTCACAAAAGGTGTTCTGACATTCTGAGATGCAAAATGCAAATGATTACTTGGTGGGTAGAGCTCTCAATATTCAACTGGGGCAGAAAATGCAGAGAGGGTTTCAGCTAGGCAGCACTGGAGATGTGGAGTCAATTAGGAAGATAGTGAAATCTGTCTCAGACGCTAAGAAATTTCTACAAGTAAGATCTGAGGAACACTTTTTGCATGTGACTCCATGAGGTCAGGAGCCACAAAAAGAACCTCTTGACAATAAGCCCACACCAAGCAGAGAACAGGGACATCCTACCCACTTGGCTCTGTATGTCTCCTCTGTAGTGAGGATCACAGATATACTCAGCTCAGAAAATTCACCAAACATCAATTAACCTTCCAGAAAAATTATTTGAAGAGGCAATGAAGGGCTCAAAAATAGCAGTTAAAATATAATAAATAAGTAAAGGTCATATGCAATGAAACTACTTAAACATAAGTAATAGTCTGAATAATTTTTAAACGGCTCACAAAACTAAATGCAAATGTCAGGAATTACACTAAAAAAGACATCTAAAACTGATCCAAGAAGAAACTGAAAATTTGATCAGACCTATAACAAGTAAAGAGATTTAATCAGTAATCAAAAATCTCCCAACAAAGAATATCCCAGGCCCCAGATGGCTTCACTAGAGAATTCTACTAAACATTTAAAGAAGAATTAATATCACTCCTTCTCAAACTCAAAATATTAGCAAACTGAACCAGCAACAAATTATGATTATAAAACACAGCCAATGGGCTTTAGCCCAGGAATGCAAGGATGGTTCAACATACAAAAGTCCATCAATGTAATATACCACATTAATAGAATGAAGGGATAAACAGTGACAACATATGATCACCTTTATTGATGCAGAAAAAGGATATAAGAAAATCCAAAGCCCTTTTATGATTTGAAGGAAAAAAACACTAAAAAAAACTAGGAATAGCAGATCCCCATACTGGGGCAAGCTGCAAAAAACAAAAACAAACAAACAAGAAAAACTAGAAATAGAAGGAAACTTCCCCAGCCTGATAAAGAACATTTATGAAAACTGCAGAGCTAATATACTCAACGGTGAAAGCATTTTCTTTAATAACAAGAAAAAGACAAGGGTGCTTGATTTCACCATCTCTATCCAACACAGTACTGGAAGTTCTACTCAGGGCAATAAGGCTAAAGAGAGAAAGGGAAAAAGAAAAGGAGAAAGGAAGGAAGGAAAGAAGAAAGGAAGGAGAGCATGAGCATCCAAATTGGACAGGAAGAAGTAAAATTATCTTTATTTGCAAATGTATGATCATATGTAGAGAAAAATCATGAAGAACACCAAAAAGCAACAACAAAAAAAAATTATTAGAGCTAATAAACAATTTCACCAAAGTTGCAGGGTACAAGATAAATATATAAAAATCAGATGTATTTCTATACACTAACAATGAACATTCAGAAAATAAAATTAAGAAAATTTCATTTACAATAGCATCAATCAGAATAAAATACTTAGGAATAATTTTTTTTTTATTGAAACATAACTAATTGCACATATTTGTGGGGTACAATATAAATACCTGTGTGCAATATGTGATGCTCAAATCAGGATAATTGGTATATTCAGCATTACACAATGTAATTATTTTTTGTGGCCCTTTACCAATTTCTCACTATCCCCTCTTCCCCCACCTTTCCCACATCTGTTAGCCTCAGTTCTGTTCTCTCCTTTTCAAAGTTCAACTTGGGAATAAATTTAACCAAGGAGGCACAGACTTGTCCAATCACTTGCTGAGAGAAATTAAAGATGACTTAAATGAAAGAGAAAACATTTTACGTTCATGGATTGGAAGACTTAATATTGTCAAGATGATAAGACTCCCCAAAGCAATCCATAGATTCTATGCAATCCCTATCAAAATCCTAAGGGCATTTTTTGCAGAAATAGAAAAGCTGATTCTAAAATTCATATGGAATTGAAAGGAACCCGGAATAGGCAAAACAATCTTGAAAAAGAAAAATAAGATTAGAGGACTTACATTTCCCTATTTCAAAAATTATTATCAAGCTAGTAGTCATAACAGTGTGGTACCAGCCTAAAGATAAACATCTAGATCAATGGAACAGAATTGAGAGTCCAGAAATAAACCTATCCAACTATGTGGTTAATTGATCTTTGATAAGGGTTCCAAGACCATTCAATGGGGAACAAATAGTCTCTTCAA